CCGTCGCAGGGTAGTGCTCAGTGGTGTGTGTCCCCTGTGCCCCACCCCTTGCCCACAGCATCTGATTTCAAGGCTCCCTCTGTAGGAACTGACAGTGGGACATTTCAGTTCAGGGGATTTTAGGCTCTGTTAATTGCGTCGTGTACAGCAGGGGAAGGAGATGACTATGCACTGCTTTTTTAGGTGAGTCCCACCTGGAATGTAAATAAATGGGAGTGTTTTCAGAGACAAGCCCGGAAAAGACATCTACTTGGAAAAGAGACATCCTGGGGTGGGGGAAAGGAAAAGAAATGATCACTGTATTCGAATGTCTGAAGGGATGTTACAGAAAAAAAGCCCCCCTTGGGGGCTTGTCCTAAGCCCCCAAGGGGATCTAATGGTTGGAAAGACAGATTTCATCAGTCAATTAACATGTTAATCACCTGATCTTACTATCAGGCTGTGCAGTGACTACTAATTGCCCTACCCAGTATCTGTTCTACCTTTCTTCCTCGTGAATATAACCCACATGTTGTTCTGGTCAGCAAAGTGCCCAACTAAAATACCCGCCTTCCCACACTTCCTTGAAGTTTGAGGTGGCCATGTGACATAGTTCTGGTTAATGAGAGGTAGCTGAAGTCTAATGGGGAGTTCCAAGAAGGTTTTGCCTTCTCGATATAAATGCCACCCAACCTCCTAGTTTCTCCCTTCTTCGGCCTGTCTGCAGATGTGATGCCCAGAGGAGCAGCAGCCATCTTACAAGGGTGAAAAAAAATCACACGCAAAAGATGGTGGAACAGAAAAATAGAAGGAGCCTGGTTTCCGGAGGACACTCTTGCCCAGCTTTCCTCACTTGGGCTTGCTGTCTTCTGGGCTTCCGGTTACACAAGAAAAATTAATCCTTTCCTTGTTTAAGCCACTGTAACAAGTTTCTTGTCAATGCAGCTGAGATGCAGTCCTACCAAAGGCACCATGCTAAGTTCTAGGAGGGAAAAGCCTTTCTTGTGGAGCCACTGGCTTTTCCTGCTTGTTGGACAGGATGTGAAGTAGGACTTCCTACAAACTGGAGCAGTCTCAAGACTGAGTTCTGGGAGGGAAGTGATCCCCCCCACACACACCAGCCCGCCGGAGGAATGCATGCAGAGGCTGTGGGGCACTTTTGCAGCTGCGATGTTGTAAAGCAGTATTGAGTGGGGAGTGAAAGGTTGGATTCAATGACCTTTAAAGTCCTTTCTAGAACAAAAGCTTTTCTAATGGTCAGAAAGTTAAAAAAAAAAACAGATGGATTCAGAGCATAGTAAGATAGTGTTTTTCAGCTGTAGTCTACAGCGAGATATACAATTTTCATTACAGTTTCTAAGAAAGCACTCTTTCTCAACCCCCGTGGGTAACTGTATCATGGCAATTTCAAGTTTCTACTGGAATTTTAGTTTACGTTTTATTTGTAGTAATGTAATTTATCCCACTTTTTACTAATAGAATTTTTATTTATCATGGATTTACAAAGTTAACATGGCAGTGAAACACAGAAGCATTTTGATTTTCAAATACTAATGGATTTATTATTTTTGTCTGTGTTTTAAAGAATCAATCTTGGGAACAAGATTCCTTCCCAACTATATTAATGGAATGTTTATGTCCTATAAGCTAACCATTAGAGATCAATTTATTGGCAAAATTTCTGTAAACATGTGAGTGTTCTCACATGAAAAGGAGGACCTTTTTTGTCTCACGGTGGAAGCCAGGTTCTTTGATGGGGTGAACATGAGAAAGGATAGGTTGAGTCTTTACTGGATTCTATGCCTGATCCCTTGGTGATCTCGAGCCTGAGGTAGGAAGATGCGCTGCACGGCTCTGCGAAGGTACCCGATGGTGGCTAGCAAGTTCTAAGAGCTCAACAGGTGTTTGTTAAATGAGTGAACAAATGAGTCCCTTTCCAGCCTGACTGCGTCTGAGTTGAGGCTGTGAGACGATACTGTACAGTCTATGTGGGTGCAAAGCAGTGTTTCTCAAAGTGCGTTACCACGAGGGTTGGCGGGATGATAAGAAGGTGGTGCTTAAAATGGAAATTACTTGGAGCCCCACCCGGACTTACTGAATCAGAATCTCTGCAACTGGGGCTTAGGAATCTGCATTTTTAACCCCCCACCCACCCTTCCCGAATATGATTCTCCTGTATAATAAACTTTGCGAACTATGGGCGTGTGTACTGGCTGTTCCAGCTGAAGCTTCCACAGAGGGACTGGGCCTTAGGAGGCAGCAGGAACTCCAGCTGGAGCAGGATTTTTAGTGATGGTTCTTGAGAAGGCAGCCACCGCAAATGTGATGGTCTCTGGCGACACCTGCTGGTTGAGAATAACAGTTAGCAAACGCTCAACCCCTCAAACTACACAGGTGTTTTCTGCGTTTTAATGTTTGAATTCTAACAGTGACGATTAATATACCCAAAGCCCCAGGCATCTGGGGGACCCCCGCTTTTATATCTGCATTCTATTTTCACTAGCTTCAGGTAGAATCAACATATACGTGAAGAATATAGTCCTTCAATTATCTTACATGTTTCTTAGAAGAAATAGTCTAAATATCATGCTCATTTGAAACATTGACAACTTTTGGATTTCTTCTGAAAGGATTTACTGAACTCTTTGACTAGGGAACTTATTCTTTGTGGTTGTTTTAGAGAAATAGTGAGAAGCCAGCTTTTATCTCTCCTTGAAGACTCCAGGCAAAACAAAGAAAAAATGTTTCGTGATACCTTAGAGTAATTGGCTCCTTTCCTTTACTGAGCACCTACTATAGCCAGCCTTCCTCTCAGGGAGCTCACAGGTCAGGGATGGAGAGGGGGCAGGTGTGGTCAGGGCAGTGGAAGCGTGTGTAATGTGTAGAAGCAGTTGGGGAGAAGGTGTAAGGCGAGGCCTGGGAAAAATGCGTTCTTCCAAATTCTATGCAGACATTACCAGGTGAGAAGTTCCTAGAAGAGAGACTGGTATGTGCTAAGACACAGAGGTGAGAAACGGCCTTTGGGGTGTACACACTTGGAAGGGGGTCACCTACAAATAACTTGCTCTTGTAAAGTGTGAGGCTGGAAGTGATGGGAGTTGGGGCCAATGAGTCAAGCCAGGCCTCACCCACCTGCCAAGACGGTTAGATTTCACCCACTGAAGTGTGTACATTTAAGATTTGCTTTTTATCAGACTGTTTATTTCATTGGTATATCAATACACAAAGTATAGCATCTCCTTTTTATCTGAAGATGGTCACATCCAACTGAGTCCAAATTCCGGATTAAGATTGTCTCTAGGAGTTGAGAATTTCATGCCGATTGAACACAAGGTCCCAGTCCATTTGGAAAGTCTCTTAGCGTCCTGGGAACGAGATTTGGCCTGTGGGCTATACCGGGGGGTCATGTTGTGGAGCTAGATCTGTGCCTTTTATTTCAGAGCTTCTGCACTGCCTCTCCTTCCTGTCCTAACAGGGCACCGCGCCCTCCCCCCCAACCGCACCCCCCCGCCCAACACACACAACATTGCCCGCCACGCAGACCCCAGGAACATCCCACAGGTGTCCTTATAGGGCCAAAAGCTGAGCACTGGTTCGTATTCAGAGCCTGAGGCATGAAATAAACCAATTCATTATTTTGTGCATAATTTTTCACCTTTTAAAAATAATAAGTGATAATGGATATATTTCCATGTTGCTTTTCACAGTAGGGTGAGGTGCTCACCTTGTGGTCGTGCTACACAATCGAGACCGTCCCTCATGAAAGATGGACAAACACAATCTCTCCGTTTCTCCCCCTCCCTTCTGCTTGGTTTGAGCCACACTGTGCGTGCACTTACACACCCGGTGTGGTCCGTGCACTTACACACCCGGCGTGGTCTAGTGGAAGAAGCGTGGGACTTGGAATCTGAGGGGCTTTTATTTGAGTCTCGCTTCTCCACCCCCATTATGTCGGCAAGTCACTTAACTTTTCCTCTTTCTTTGCCTGGCAAAAGGAGCTAATAATACCTTCCTCGCTTGAGGATTGGGTGAGAAAAATATATATAAAATGCCTGAGACCAGTGCCCAAAACACAGCAGGTCCTTAATAAATGATAGCTCCTTTGCCTTCTTTTTCTATCCTTCCCTTGATACCAGTGAGTCATCAAAAGACCAGGAAGCACACAGCCACAGTGGTAAGTAGCCCTTAGTTCATGCTGTTCTGTGCTGTTCTATGGGGTTTTCCTCTGAAACAGGTTAATTAGATAAGAGACCTTTTCTTAGCCTACAGATTTTCTGTCCCAGTCTCTCTATAGTGATTTTGAGCTCTTTCAAGTATAGAGTCTGACGGTCATTAGCCAGCCACCCACCCTCCCTACCCCCTTGCTGTTCTGAAGGGAATCCAGTTCTGTCAATATTTGCTCACCACTGGACAAGGGCCACAACCCCGATGTGATGCCCAAAGCCAGGCTCTCTTGACCTATGGGTGGGATGTCCTCGTCTGCACAGATAAGCAGCTTGTGCCCTCTCCAAATCAGGAGAGGGTCTTTTAGCCACTGGTGCCAAAGTGTGACTTTTTCACTGGCAGATATTACCTAACAGACTGATTTTTCTTGCTCATTAACCAAGTCAACAGCCCAAAGACGTGACTCTCAAAGATTTGGTCCAAAGTTAACCTTTGACTTAAAGGGACAACATTTTGGAGGACAGTCCCCATTGCACGTTTTCTGTTCTCATCTACTCTTAATATCCTGGAAATGCTGAGATATTGGCAGATTGCGACTGAATAAAGTTTGGCAGTGAACATGACAGTCAAGACAGAGCCAAATGACAAAAGACTGAAAAGCCACAAAAGAAAAAGACTCACAAGCCAAAGAACCCTAATGTTAGCACAGAGAGGTGTGGTAGGAAACGTGCTCATTTGCACATCGTTAGTACTTCTGAATGGCACTAATATAAATGCCTGTCCACAGGCGGCTACAAGACAGAGCTGGTGACTAACATGGGGAGATGATGATGGTGAAGTATTACCCTGCTTTCTTTGTACTTGAAGGATGTTCAAAGTATGTTCAAAGTAATGTTTATTTTAGTGTTTAATAAGCTCAAAGGGTAGGAAAGGGAATTGTATCTTTGCTGTAGTTTTACAGAGCGAATGTCTTCCAGGAAATACCCAAATCAGAAGAAAAAGCTTTGGACAGAACATATGTCCAAATCTGGGATTGAGAAGGTATGAACATGCTGTGCTCCTGGAATCCTCTTGTTTGCTCTGGAACTCCTAACATACAGGTACAGCCAACTGGTAATTATTAATAGAAATTAATTTAGTAATTCCTACCTTCTAAGCGGTTCAGAAGTGCTCTTAGAAGGCAGCCTGTCTCCATGCCGGCTGCTGTGGTGGTTAAAGAGCAGAATCTGCTGCTTTGCCCTTCCAAGGTGCTCTGTGCTCTGTCTTCTGGAGCAGCTGGTGCCTGGAGGGCTTTCAAAAGCCCTTCAATCGTTGGATCAGAGGTCTCTTTTGTCTGCCATTCCTCTGTACAGATGCCACGGTCTCCAGAGCCCTTCCCATCCAGCATCCCTTGTTCCCGATGGAATGCACCCTGTTGCCTGCAGCACCCCAACGTTTTGGCAAGAAGAGAGGGGAGACACCAAATATCCTATTTTACTTCTTGTTAGATTCCTAGGAAGAGGGAGGACGTTAAAGCACTTGACTAAATAAAAGTCATGGTCATCTGTAACTTTTATCATTTACAAAATGGTGGCCTCCGATTGGGAATGGAAATTAAAGTTACCACCACATTCTTTAACTCGTCCTGGAGACGTGGTGGGGTATGAGGGGAATTACAAAGACTCTTTTCTTTTACTGAGAATCACACATCCCTTTTTTATACGTTTCTTTTTTTTCTCCCAAAGTGAGGAAGTCTGCAAAGTGCCAGGAAGTTGAGCTGATCATAGTACGATGCTTATTTAAATAGGATGCTCTAAATAGATCTGCTGTTTTGTTGCTTCAATATCCTACTGAGCAAAGAACTGCAAGAGACCATTCAGAAAGACACAGATCTATAGCATAATTTTGGTAAATAACAAGTGTTCAGCAAATGTTGAATAAACTAACAAATATCTAGAATTCCAGAGGTTCAACCACATAGTATATTTTAAAAAGGCAGATATTAAGCCTTTTAAAAATCATTTTACTTCAAGTTATTTTTCATTATAAAAGCATACCTGGGTATGATTCCTCTGGTTTTCAAATAGATGGTCTGATACATAAAATGCATTAATGTTTGATGAATCAGATATGCTAGCATGGCGCCCATTGCTCCTGGAACAGCCACTGTTTACTGAACATTTACTAAGTGAAAGCTGCTGTACTGTGGGCTTATGTGCCATATCTCTTCAAATCCTTATTTATAAGAATCATGAGATTAGAATTGTTCCCATTTTAACAATGAGAACACAATGACTCCCAGACTTAAGTAACTTACTAGAGGGCAGAGAGCCTCTAGCAAGTTACTTAAGTAAGTGTTACAGCCACGGTCGTTAACAGAGCTCTGAAGTATAGGGGTTTATATGACAGCCCATGTTTAGAGAAGAGAGCAACAATGCTCATAATCAAGTCCTGCACTGGTTCACAATGCTCCGGGAATCTCCTTTTCATTCTTTTGGCACATAGATGCATTATCATTATTTTCCAGCCTTGTATAGGGCCTAAGTCTTCCAATAACTAGCAGTAAATATGGTGTTGTGCTCGCTGAAGTCTTTTACTAAGTGCCAGTTGAGAGGAGAATAGATGTTGTTGGGTTGGACTCTCCTGTGTGAGTTACAACAATAAGGAAGTCCACCAGCGCCTGTTTTTCCTCAAGGTCAGAGTCAAATCTAGCAACTTAGGTGCTCAAGCCAAGCAGTATGAAAGGTATTCTCAAATCAAGAGGTGGTGCTGGCCCTAGTGTCACAAAGGGGCCTCATGCTGGGAACTCCTGACCTGACCTGGGCTCTGCTCCGTCCTTCTCTATCAGCTGCCCCGAGACAGCTGGCTAGGGCAATCCTGCCTCACGGCCTGGAGAGGTGATGTGTCCATTGGCTAAGAGGATAAAGTTTGCATAATATTTTAAAAACTTCTTATAAAATGGTACCCTGTAAATTATAGTTCCTTGGGGTAAAGCCTGGTCTCAGTGTCCTATTTGTGGTCTGCACAAAGGTAAACATTTTTTTTCCCAAATTCTCAGAGTGGCATCACCAATCTAAATGAACAAGGAATTTTAACTTATTTGGCCTGCTATCTGGAGCTAAAGAAGAAATTTGTGGGTAGGATATCCATGTCATCCAATTCAAAACTGTAGAACCTTCCATGGCTCCATGGCTCTTCCTTCTCCCCAGTCATCTCCCCGCATGCAGCAAGGAACAAAGCTAGATTTATCTCAGGCCCTGTGTGGGACATGGTAGCTACTTGACAAAAGTCTAGTTGTTGAATGGACAAAGGAAAAGTGGGAGGGAGGGAAGGAAGGAGAAAGAGGGAGGGAGACTTAGAACATCAGTATTCAAAATCTACCCTAATGTTAACAGCGCGAGGAAACAGCTCTTTTAAAAGTTATTTGGCAATGTGTATTAAAAATCTAAAGAATATGCACAGCCTTTAACCCAGCAAATCTGTATTTAGAAATTAAGGGTGTGTGAAAAGATTTTACTGCAAATCAGAGTATTGTTCCTAATTATACAATGTTTCGGCCAACCTAACAGTCCAACAATAGGGAATGAGGTCAATGGGTTACGACACGTCCACAGCTGTTCTTCCCCTGGTCTTTCCCATCTCAGTCAATAACACCACTGTTAAACCAGTTGCTCAAGCTGGAAACCTAGAATCATTCTTAAATTTTGTTCCCTCTCTTTCAACCTGTCATTCCAAGTCCTATCGTTTTCCAAAATATACAGGGAGTCATCATATAGATGCTTTCAAGGGTTTACTCACCACAGATAAGAGGAAACACGTTGTTCAAGTGGCCGGGTAAGTGGGCATTGATGACCCCACCAACATCGTGGAAGGTGAAATTAATTTAACTGAGACCATAGAGAAACATGGACAAGGAAGTGTTAGAAAACAATGATATGGGGTTGTACACGTGAAACTTAGATTCTGTACTATACTTGATGGATGATTCAAGAGATTTTGCAGAGTTAATTTAGACTAGATGCAATCAGTACCTCCTGTAGACCCTGAGCATCAGGGTCCTCACTCTTACCCTCCTTCCTCTGGACCCCTTCCACAGGGCAAGGAGTCCATGAGGCTGAGGGAATGTGCCCACCCAAAGCTCACTTCTTCCTCGCAAGACCACATGGGAGAAACCCAGGACCCTAGAACTCCCTCCCCAAACAAGGCTTGCCTGGGTCTCTCCTCCAGGTGCTTCCTCCTAAGGGAGGATCCTGGCTGTGGCAGGTGGTGTGGACGGAGCTTGGACTAGTGGGCTCAGGTGTTGACAGGTGAGTGTGAGCAGCCTCTCACAGTGCGGCCTGGAGCAAGGGGTGGGAAAAGAATGGGAGCAGGGTCTTCCATTTGTCCTCTTGCCTCAGATCCCACGAACGTTAGCAGCCACCCTGGATGCAATGTTTATTTCTGACTATCATGACTGACCAACACCCGCCTCCGTTATATCTCATATCCAGCTATTACTCTACGCTACTCCAAGCCCCATCATCTCTCTCTTTTTTTTTTTTGTGAGGAAGATCAGCCCTGAGCTAACATCCATGCTAATCCTCCTCTTTTTGCTGAGGAAGACCGGCCCTGAGCTAACATCTATTGCCAATCCTCGGCCTTTTTCTCCCCAGGGCCCCGGTAGATAGTTGTAGGTCATAGTTGCACATCCTTCTAGTTGCTGTATGTGGGACGCGGCCTCAGCATGGTGGGACAAGTGGTGTGTCGGTGCGCGCCCGGGATCCAAACCCGGGCCGCTAGTAGCGGAGCGCACGCACTTAACCTCTAAGCCACAGGGCCGGCCACCTAAGCCCCATCATCTCTTGTTTGGGTTATTCCTGTACTCCCCTAACTAGTCTCCCATCTTACACTCCTGCTGCCCAATCCATTCTGCTACACAGAACAGGCAGAGTAAGCATTCTAAAATATAAATCAGATCGTGTTACTGCCACAGACTGAAAGTACCGTACATATACCTTGCCACGGCATAGAGGGCCTCTAGCTTCCTCTGTCTCAGCCTCAGTAAGTGCAAGCTACATTGACCATCTTTCAGTTTCTACTGCTTGCTGAGAAGTTTTCCGCCTCAGGGCCTTCAAATATGCTTCTCTCTCTGCCTCGAACGTTCTTCCTCAGCTTTCACATGCCAGATTCCTCATCTTCAAGTCCAAATTTACTCTATTCCCTCAGACAGACCTTCTGCAACCAATTTGTGTACCCCTGCTATTTTCTCTCGTAGTGTCCTGTTCTTTTCCTTCACGGCATTTCATCACAAGTCAGGCTGCTGTATTTATTTTGCTTGCTTGTTTGTCCAATGCCTGTTTCCCCCATCAAATTGTAACCATCATATTGAATAATGTATATATCAGAACTTAACACTGTGTAGTACACCTGTGCAATTAGTCTATATAATGGAATACCATTTACTCATAAAAATAATGTTTTTGATGGGTATTACTGGCATAGAAAGTTGTACATAATATAATTTTAAATGAAAAAAAGCAGGTTATGTAGTAATATAAACCCATTTTGTTTTAAAAAATGTAAATATATACTATACATGTTTACATATGTATTTCTCATATGTGTGTGGTAAAAAAAGTCTGCAAGGTGTTACAGTGCTTATCTGGGTTGGGAAATTGTGAGTGCAGTTTACTTAATTTTGCTTCTCATTTAAAATACCGATTGTGTATTATTTTCATAATAAGAATATATGTTAATTTTTGTAACTAAATAAATACACTAAAATCTATCTGTACAGAAACTATCACAGTAAACTGACATTTTTCTGCAAGCAGTCTCGATGTCCAGCATTGAGGGAATGTTGAGCCTGGGAACAGCACATCCATTCAATAAAATGTTAGGTAGCCATTAAAAATCAGTGGGAAGAATGTCACAGCATGGAAAATGCTAATTATATAATATTAACTTAGAAATGAAAAGAAAATGAGATGAAATAAAAAGAATTTTTAAATGATGTTATTGCTTACAGTGATAGAATTATGGTGATTTTTTTTGTTTGCCTAAGCTCCTTTAACATCCCTGTCTACATTTAAAATTTGTATTTTTAACGTAAGTATGTGCTTGAACAACTTATGTATTATCCCACCTTGTTAGATGTTAGGTTTTATTGGTAAGAATATTTGTGTAATTTAGCCTTTCTATGTAAATTGCTTCAAAATAAAATCTCAAATTTGCTGGGATATGTAATGCATCACCAATTCCACAAGGTGACAGTATCATAGTGATTAAGCAACATTGGAGAATTTGCTGCGGTTAGTGCATTTACTCCTAACGTTATTTTTCCTTATGTTTGATCTTAGATTTACATTGACATTTACATTCCTTTCAAGTCCCAAGAATGTAATGTATTTTATGGTTCTTATTATAAAATTGTAAGTTAAATAATTCCACTGACTGGGAGAATGTGAAAGTCTCTGCCCACCCATTTTCTTCCCCACTACTTCTTCGTTTTCTACAACTTTTTCATTTTTAAAAATAATAAATAATATCAATTGCTATTTCTTGAAAATCTTTGATGAGTGAGTCGTCGTGCTGGGTCTTTATATACATCACCTCATTTACTCTTGCAGAGTAGATGTTGTTCTTCCCGTTTTACAGATGAGAAAACAGAGGCTAAGAGAAGACTGGTAATTTCCCCAAAGTCACACAGTTACTAGTTGCCAGAGCCTGAATTCAAGCCCAGTGTCTGTAAAGAAACTGTTAAGTGAAGAAATTGGTGAATAAGCAAATAAATGAGTAAATAAATAAAATGACTATGTATAAATGAATAGATGGATTGAAGAAATCGTTTTGCTCATTATGGATAATAAAAAATACCAGTTACAACAATAAAGTTAAAAAATAAACACAAAATATGCAAGTATGAAAAAATAACCATATTCTCATAACCCAAAGATAATAACTACTAGTCGTCTGGCACATTTCCTTTGTGTGTGTGTGTTTATGTGTTATCTATCTATTTATCTATCACATATCTACCTAATTCAGGTCATATTAAAAATAAAAAGCAAATGAGATATATATTAAATAATTTCTATCTCCTGTTTTCCCTTAACATAATACGTGAAAATTTCCCTCCTGTAATTAAAAATTCCTTGAAAGTAAGACTAATAGATTTATAATATTCTTTCATTTGAATGTACTGTATTTTATTTATTTCCTATAATTGAATTTAGCAGTTTCCTCTCAAAATTAGGAGATTATTAATGATGCTAAAATGATCAGCTTTGTATAGAAATCTTTATCTTTATCTCTGCCCATTGTTAAGGGTACATTCCTAGAACTTGAATGACTTATTATTAGACTTATTGAATAACTTATTAGCCTTATAAAAGGCTCTTGTTAAGTTACAATTTTTAACCTGATTGTTAAAGTAACAAATTTTCATTTCAAATCATTGTAGCAAATATTTCCAGAGAAGAGAGAAAAACTATGCTGCATCCCTTTAATTAGAATAACTAGTTTTGGGCCGGCCCCGTGGCTTAGTGGTTAAGTGCGTGTGCTCCGATGCTGGCGGCCCGGGTTCGGATCCTGGGCGCGCACCGACGCACTGCTTCTCTGGCCATGCTGAGGCCGCGTCCCACATACAGCAACTAGAAGAATGTGCAACTATGACATACAACTGTCTACTGGGGCTTTGCGGGAAAAAAAAAAAAAAAAAGAATAACTAGTTTTATGATTTTTGTGTATTTCCTGCTAGATTTATATATTTATATATCTCTGCCTATAATATTTCTCCACATATATATACCCATTTTCACAGAGTTGATAATAAAATATATAAAGTTTCATATCCTGTCCTTGTCATTTAACATTATATAATATTTTATATATATAAGTATACATATAATAAGCATGTTTCATATCATTAAATATTCTTCAAAAACATGATCTTTAATAGTGGATTTATATTCTCTTATATTAATGTTTTATTATTAAACTTTGAGATTATTTATAGTCTTTTTATTGTAGAGATATATTTGTCATGTGCTAATTATTTCTTTAAGATAGACTTCTGGAAATATTACTAAATACAAATAATATTATGGTACTTCTTTATGAATGTTGATACATATGCCAAATTGCTCTCCAGAAAGGTTCTACCAATTTACATTTATACTAAAGTCTGTGAATGTCCCCATTGCCCACTCCTGGCAGATATCAGGACATCATTGTCATTTACCTCTGAAAACCCTAAAGGCAAAAGATGACAGTCCTTTGTTGTTTTCATTTGCATTTCTTATTAGTGAATTGAATATTTTGCATTAATTTATCATCTTCTTATATGTCCTTTTCTGTCAACTCTCTATTCATGTCCTTTGTCAATTTTGCTATTCAGACATCACTGCTTTTCTTACTGATCGATAAAAGATTTTTATATATTAGGGATATTAGCACTTTTTCAGTCACATTTATGGCAAATATTTTATCTTCTTTATAATTTGTCTTTTAATTTTGTTAGTGATATTTTTATCTATAAATGATTTAAATTTTTATAGTAGACAAATTGATAATTTATTTTGTGTTTTCTTCCCCTTTTTTAATTCAAAAGTCCTTCCTTGGGCCAGCCCCGTGGCATAGTGGTTAAGTTCAGTGTGCTCTGCTTCTGAAGCCCAGGTTTCCGGGTTGGGATCCCAGGTGCAGACCTACACCACTCGTCAGCCATGCTGTGGCAGTGACCCACATGCAAAATAGAGGAGGATTTGCACAGATGTTGGCTCAGGGCTAATCTTCCTCAAGCAAAAAAAGAGGAAGATTGGCGACAGATGTTAGCTCAGGGTGAATCTTTCTCAGCAAAAAAAAAGTCCTTCCTTAACCACCAAAACAATAAATACTTACCTATATTTTCTTCAATTAAATATAAATTTTTTCTCTTTTTCAAATTAAGGTATAATTTATTTTCTATTTTTAATGGTTTTGTTTCTTTCATTTTTCATATTTATTAATAGGGGAAAATAATTTTATAATGTAATATGGAGCAAGCTGCATTTGAATATTTAACAAATTTCCTCCAAATCATTTATTAGTGTTTTATCCCTTCCCCCACTGATTTGTGAAGATGTTTTATCATATGTAGTAGACCCTTAATAATCTGAGAAGTATAGTAGTTAAGAGTTTGGACTTGGTGATCAGCCACATCTGCGTTCAGATCCTGGCTCTGCTATTTTTCTGTTTCGGCAAGTTAATTAAGCCCATTGAATCCTCAGTTCCCTCATCTATAAAAGACAGACTGTAGGGGCTGGCGCGGTGGCGCAAGCAGTTGAGTGGG